GGTGGAAAAAGTAGACATATGAGCATTGCTGTGCACCCTTTTTTGGGGCCAGCAGGTGGCAGTAAGACAACTTAAATTGGGAAGGTTTTCATGGGTAAAGAGGTTGGAGAGTAGTAATTGTGCCCAAACCAGATATGAGAATCTGAAGTTTGTGGTTTTACTAAGCTCTGTATCCACATAGACTCGTGATAAATATAAATACTGCATTTTCCCACACTTAACTTTCAGAGACTTAAGTTATTGTAACACATACAGCATGTATTTAAAAAATATGTTCAAAAATGGCATCATGCTGATGATCCTAGTGGAAGGGGATAAGGGGGCCCTGGGCTGAGAGGTGGTTGGTGTGACCTGGGCACATGATTAAGCTGCTCTCGTCAAGCCAAGTCCGTCTAGACCCCCATCTCTCCTGTCTGAGAGCAATCTATGACTGCAAAGGATTAGTCAACAGTCTTCATAGCATAATTCACAGTTTTATGAGTGCTGAAATGTTTAGGAAAGAGTGTGGCTTCCTAAAGGCCTTTAGTTGTTATATAAAAGTTACTCCTCTCCTTCCTGACTCGTTTTTCTTTTGTCTCGTAGCAACACTTTACGAGTCACCCGTTCTGCTGCCCCCAGCACACTGGACAGTTCCAGCACTGCCCCTACTCAGCTGGGAAAGAAAGGCAAAGAATTTGAGTTCTCGCAGTTGCCCCTCAAAGTGGAGTTCCTGGAGTGCAGTGCCAAGGGCGGAAGAGGGGACGCTGCTGACATCCAGGACCTGGAGAAATGGCTGGCTAAAATCGCCTGAGGGGCGGGGCCGGAGCTCAGGACGGCGGCGGGGGGAGAGAGAGAGAGTGAGAGTGGGTGTGGGTGTGGGTGGGTGGGTGGCTGACAGTTTTGGAAAACAGTGTGGTAGCCTGGAGTTGATAAAGAAGGGGTACAAAATGTAATTAGAAACATTTTCTTGTTCTGGAAACAAATTGTTGTTGAAAGTAACTTGGAATTTTTGTTTTTAAGTTTAGTTCTCCCTCAGTGCTTTCTAGTCACTTACCTGCCTCTGTGTCTTCCCTTGGTTAAGGTTTAGGTTTTGGCCCTTTAGTGAATGCTTGACCTAGGGTTAAGGTCTTTGTGACCAAAACAAGTGGATCTGCATAGAGCGGATATTATCATGAGAGTATGGTTATCATCGGAAAAGTTTCTCATCCTCTGCTTCTGTGTGTTAGTCCCTTTTCCTGAAAACAAACCTGTGTATGGAACCAGTTGATTCCATTTGCCCTTGACATTCATGGGCAGTCCATCCTCTAGTCCTTTGTGAATTCTCAGAGGTGTGGGTGTAGTTACAGTGCAGTCTCCCGACATGGGAAGACAGGTAGGAAACAGCAAGGCTGTGTTGACAGCGGGTCTGTTCTTCATCAGCTTGGTGACTTGTCCACACTCCAGCCTCATAGTACTTAGGTTTCAAAAACATGCCCTGAACCCCCGGAGTCATTCCCAGATGATAGAACTATGAGTGCTACACCCCACATGCCAAGGGTCTAGTGTGGTCTCGTGCTTTCCCTTAATTGAGGAGTATATGAAGATTTAGAAGCTGTTGTGAGTTTTTGGATGGCTGAGGGCTCCTGGGCTACGTTCCTATGCTGTTTGACCAGCCTCTGTTTTGTACTCAGAGCTGGAATGTTAACGGAACACGTGTGAATGAAAGAAGTTCTCCATAGTTTTTTAAAGTGTATATTCACTGGTGGTTAAAAGAAAAGTCAGCTTTTTCAAAGTGATGTTCTTTGTCGTCTTCTTGAATGTTGGCTCTTTTATGGCTTTTATAAGTTATTCATGTGTTACTTAGTAAATAAAACAACCTGTCTGGCTCAAAGCAATTGAATGGAATGGTAGAGTGAGTACAACTGGGAGCCTGTGTTAGAGTGCAGGGCCTGAAGATGGCAGTGTACGCAAGAACAAACTGCTGTGCCTACTTCACACACTCAGGGACAAGCCCCACTGAAGCTTCAGAGGGGACAAGGGTAGCTGTGGGTGAGGGAGAAGCTAGTCCCAGAACAGTGTGGTCAGAGCCATGACAGGAGAGGTGCTCAGGGTGCTCAGCGGGCGGCATGGGCACTTCACCTGGCTGTGAGAGTCAAAGAATAGAAGCATGGAGCCGAAAACATCCCAGGGAGTGTGGTCGCCGTGTGTGTGCACTACAACCCAGCCTCTGCCTTCCCCCCCTTCCCGTGGGTCATCCTAGCTCGGCTCGAGAGCCCTCCAGCCCCCAGCCCTCGATCATACGCCTTGCTGCTCGCCTGTGGAGGAAGTGCAGGCGGAAATGGAGAAGACGTTGAGCCTTGACCCTGGCAGAGTTCTTATTCGAAAGCCTCATTGCTGCTCGTGTTCTTACCGTCCTTTGGATTCTTAGTTTTTGCCCTTATTAGCCAGCAGTAATTCAAGGAGACCGGTAAGAATAATGAATCAGAAATCAACAGAGAATGTGATGAATGTGACACATTCACGTAATCACAGTAGGTGCTCATGTGAATAAAAATCAGTGGCTTCACACTTCTGTTAAGAGGCATGTGTTCTCTTAGCTTCGTTTTGATTTTTTCTGGTTAATAAATTGTTTACTGGGGGAAGCAATACACCAGAAAGGTAAAGTTCTCTCTCAAACAGTGATTCTCAGACGCTGGTGTGCATCAGAATGATCTGTGATGCCCGTCAGACAGCTGTTCTGAGGACCCTGCTCCTAAACGTTGAACTCAGTGGCAGATCTGGTGTGGTCTCGAGTCTGCATGCTCAGTGTGTCCTGTACCAGGCACATGGGACTCCTAGGAGCACCCTCCGAAGTCACCTGCCCTGGAGTATCACATGTGCCTTCAGTAGGCTTGGTTTTTAAGTCCTTTGGGCCACACGCCCTGTTTAGTTTTTCGCACAGGGTATGAAGTAAGCAAGCAGGTGAGAGTCCCTCCCGGGCGCTCTCATCCTGCTTCCTATTCCACTGCTGGTCATCCCATTCTTGTGCGTTTGGGCCAGGATGAGATCATGGTGACCAGTCCTTGGGTGCTGGGAAGGGGTTTCGAGAGGTCCTGTGTGTTCTCTAGTCTGTTGGTATTCTCTTGTGGCCCTGAGGTCCTTCAGTCAAAGTAGTCCCATTTCTCCATGAGATGGGAGGCAAGTGTGGCCAGAATGGGGAGAGATCAGTCATGGGGACTGGCAGACAAGGCACAGCTGTGGGTCATAGATGAGACTGTAGTGGTCTGCACCAGCTCTTTGGGCACACAACGGTGTCTGGGCCCCTGGGTGTGTATGGGTCCTGCCACTTGCTCACGGGCCACCTGATACGAATGACCCCGTTCCTTGCTAAGGGAGAGGTGCCATTATAGGGAGGTGGCTGCGATGAATGTGCCCTGGGCACGCCACTGCTTCTGGAATGGGGTCTTCCACAGGGTATGGAGCACGCGTGCAGAATGAGGGGTTGGGGTGCTGGCCATACTGTTTGTTCCAGCTTTTTTTTCAAGCCCTTTGCCAAGGGTTCTGAGGCCTTGGTAGTCCCTCCACTGCCAGGCACCTGCCCATTTGCTGGGGTCCGAGTCAACAACAGCTGTTGTTAGTGGGGCGTGCCACTTACCTTTTCCCGTGGCTTCTGTCTCAGTGCCTCCTGGGATCCCAGTGTCCCCCTGGGGTCCTGGTACGTGTGAGGCACTGAGTGTTCCGTTGACTTAAGATTATTGTGTTCAACTGAAATGTGTGTTTTTGTGGTATTTTTGGTATATTTGTATATCGGCATACTTATTTTGGCATTTCTGAATTTGAGGTTAGCATAGGATTATCAAAGCCCCTTTCTCCACTCTTGCTCACTGGACACAAATGCAGCTACAGTGATAAGGAAACCCCCCTTGAGCAGCATCCCTCAGTGCCACGCGGGGCATGTCAGACAGGTCATTCACCAACCCTCTGTCATCTTCACGTTTGTGTCTGGGGAATCCCAGGGGGCTCCGTTCTTCTGGCAAGGGCTGGGGCAGCTGGAGGGTTGTGTGTGTCAATGCTGTGTCCTACGTTATGCCCTCCCCTTGCTGTCTCAAGTCCTGTCATCCTGAGCACGGTAATCTTGGAAAAAATGGTGTGGGTTTGGAATAGCTTGCCTCTGGCTTCAGTCTGGTTTGTACGAGTGTGTGCACTTGGGCTGTGAGGCCTCTGCCCCTTGACATCCCTTGGACCTCCTCTACCTCATTTTACATCTGGCAGCCGGAGAAGTTAGGCTTAGTGGGCAGAACATCTATTTCCTGTTCCTCCTAATTTAGAGGTGGCAGATGGGGGGTGTTCCAGAAACTTTAGAACCTTTGAAGGGGAAAGATATGTAGTGAAGTTGAACTCGAAGAATGAGACCTGGTGAACTTGGCTTACTCCGTAGCTCCAGGATTCTCAGCATTTTCAGGCCAGAGCAGTTCTGGGCCTGATCTTGGCCTTTGTGTCCTCTCTGGATTGGTCCCACAACTGTCCAGGCCTTCAGGGCATCTTTTAGTCTGGAGATGACTGACACCTGAAGGGGCCTCTCAGGGATGTTCTCTAGTGTGGGGACAAGCAGGAGGTGGTATGTGGCTGCTTGGTGTCACCTGGAGGATGATTATGGTGCACCTTAAATTCTTTAAATGGCTTTCTGGAGATCACCAGAAGGGAGAGAGATTCAGTCCCCACACCCACCCTTCAAAACCCCAGCCATGGCAAGTGGAGACCAGGGATGACAGAAGTTATCACACTGCCCTGAGTCTCAGTTCGGCCTGGGGCTTCCCTCTCCATGAGCCTTTAGGCAGAGTGATGGAAATGAGTGACCCTTCCACCTCATTAGTGTGTCTGAGGCTGTGGAGGGCCCAGGTGAAGAGGAGGAAGCAGAGGGCTCTGGGTGGCAGGCCTAGCCCCCAGACGTGGGATGATGGTTTGTGGAGCAGGCACACGAGGAAATCTGTTTTGGCGCAGCCCTCCCCCCTCCCCTGGCCCCCCATATGTGACTGCACCACTTAGAAACATTGGACAAGATGTTTTGTGTTGAGAATCAGGACAGTTTATTGTTTGCTCAACATGCTGAGTCTTCCACATTTTACACAGTTTTTATGTAAAGTCAATGTGGCCATTTATGCCTGCTGAGCCAGTAAACGATGGAAATGCCACCCTCTGTGTTCCTCATGGCCAACCACTTTCAAGGGGATGGGTGCAGGTAAGTGAGGGGACAAGCTGACACACCACACGATGCAAGCTGGCCTTCCGCGTCTGGAGGCTTCCCACTGGGAGGAAGTTTCCAAACCCCACTGCAAGGATAAGCCATGCCCTGCGGGGAGTGTCAGCCACACAGGGATCTGGCACCGAAGAGTTTACACATGAGAGCCCAAGGTTTTGGAACACCTAGATAGTTCATTTCAAACAAAAACTCAAAAGGGTGCCCTGGTCTGTGGGTGCCCATTGACAATCAGAGTGGACTTGGGGACTGGCCCTTCTTGGCAATGGAGGAGTGTGAAATGGACATGCGTTCTTTCCCAGCTCACTCAGCTATGCTGGCCAGAGTCCTCAGCAGAGGTGGTCTGAGGAGCCCCCGTGCCCGGCAGCCCTTTACGTGCAAGTGCACGGTCACATCTGCACACCCAGGTTGGCGATGATTGAAGAATGGAAACACCTTGGCTCTGACCGCTTCTGGCTCGCTGGGTGACCAGAAGCAAGTGGCCCTTCTCTGCCTCTGAGACCGCCGCGTCCTGCTGCCGTAGCTAGGGGGCGATGCCGCACGTGCTCGGGGGAGAGGTAGTTTGGAAATTAGTGAGCGTACAGCCCTGCTTGGTTGACGCACAAAAACTTCTCTGCTCGGCTGCCCCTCACGTGGCTCGGATGGGACTCGGTCCTTGGCTACCTGTCCTCACATCCTGACACCCTCACCTGCCTTCTGCCGTGTGAAGGAATGAGGCTGCTGTGCCTGCAGGACACCGAAGCCAGCGGCGCCGTTCTGTCACAGCTGGTCCTTGAGGGCAGGGGCTCCCAGCGCCGGCTTGCCGTTGAGAGGCCGGAGACGCTGCACTCGAGATAAGTCTGTACGCTTAGCTGCTGCCGTTTTCGTTCTTGTTTCTGTTGCCTGAGACTCTTGAACCACCTGGCCTTGCCCCTCAGACCCGGGAGCATGCAGACAGAAGAGAGCGGTGACAGTGACGGCAGAGAGGCCTCTGACCTAGAGGGGCTTGCTCACAACAGCCCGGCTTGCTGACGCAGACTCTACGCCGCACTTCTCACACTTAAGCTGCTGACATCACACCCTCACTCTGGCACGTGTGTGCATTTCTAAACACGCTATCTGCTCCTGCATCTTACGCTGTTTTTCAGATGCCTGTGGAATAGGGGCTTTACTGACATCTTTTGAGACACCCCCCCCCCCAAAAAAAGAAAAAGGGCCTGAAGAGGACTCTGGCCATCTCCTTAGGGAGGGGACTGAACGATGGCTTTGCCTCAGGCTAGCCCATCTGGATTCGGCTGGGATGTCACACTCGCTGGGGATGTGGAGGCAATTTCATCCCCTCTTCTTCAAGGGAATCTGATCATTTTATTACTGAACCTTAAATCCCAAGTCAAGATACCACCTACAGGCAAGAGAACAGTGATGGCAGCTGCTCAACATGAGAGCCAAGGAACCAACCCACTTCTGTGCAAGAGATCTGGCTACCTCAACAGGCCAGGAAGTGAGGGATGGGAATCAGGCCTGAGAGAAGGAGGGTCATGGAATGGCGTGGCACCACTAAGACGGGAGGGCAAGAGGAGACAACTGCCCTCGCCTCAAGCCTGCAGGGCTGGGGAGAGCCTGGACTCGAGAGAGGACCTTGTGTACATGCTAGGAAGGCAGGGCTCACCGAGGCCACATCAAGCCATGTGACATCTACCGCATCTCTCACTGTTCCTAGGCTATGATGGAAAAAAGTGTTCGTGGTGCCTTAACTATGTGTGCACATGAGAAGGGAATGGGAGTTTCTCCTTTGTTTTTACAGGAATGTTTAAGAAAAGCTACTCTTTAGTACCAAGAAAATGAGAATCCACCATACATTCATTCCCTGGGACCCAATGCAGATCCCAGCAAATGGGGCTGTCCCAGAGGCCAAAAGCAACGGGCCTCACTGCCAACCAGGCCGGACGTTGTAACATGGACTCCTATAAATTCTCACGAGGTAAGTAAGCACTCTTCCAACAAGCACCACTTGGGGGCGGGGGTGCCATGGTGGGAGGGACTGGCCCACATGGGCATGCACACCGATGCATATAAGTAGAGAGAGAAATGGTGCACATATTCCCATGGCTATTTTTGCCTGTAGTTGAACACATCTATGCATTAGTTTATTGATGGCAAGACAATCACAAGTTTTTTGACAATATTAAGTATTTCTTATTTCAACACGTTGCAGTACTTTTGAATTTCCAAAACTGTTATCACAATGCAAGTTCCAACTTGAGAGCAGGAAAAACAAGAATATACATTGAGCACGTGTATCTCTGTGAGAATGTGTGTGGAAGGTGTATACACAAGTCTATCTCTATATATAATTATGTACACACATATAAAAACTAAACACATTGACACTGGAATTACGTTCATACATCAGTCTTTGCCTTCTGGAAGAGGAGCTCAGTGAGAATCCTGCTTCCTCTCTTCTTCACCTGAAGATAAATTCCTCTCTAAACAACAGCTCTGTCATATAGTCTCCTTAAGCTGAGAGTGTGTGACAGGCCCACCGGACAAATACCAGTGAGTCCTGTCTACTTATTGGCTGCCATTTTGGATTAGTTTCTGAGAAGTTCCAAAATTCACTGCAATAACTTGTTGGAGTCCTGCTTTGTGGAGGAATCCCACCCCACCCCACCCACTCCCAGATGGTCATTTAGCTCACCTAGGACACGCCCGACAGCAGTCTGGAGGCAGAGACAATGCCAGCTTGGAGGGCAGGGTTTTGGGCCAGAGTTGCTGCCTACTGCCTGGCTCTATGCAGGCTCGGTTCAGTACGTCTGGGTCTATTTGGAACGCGGCCCCATGGGTTACATCACTTAGAATTCTCTTGAGAGACTTTTACAGGCCCTCAGGACTAAGCCCTTCTCAGAAAGGAGTCGAAATGGCAAGGATGGCTCTCTCTGGGCAGCCTTCTGGAGACCCCACGTCAGCAGCACCCTCAGGCAACCAGAGCGCTGCTACAATATCCTCAAAGGTACGTGCACAATGATTACAACTGCATGATGCCGGTGGGGCAAGTCAGCTTTTCCAGAACAGCACTCAACAGTATTAGCAACCGAGGATCTGAACATGAGTCTTCAAGGTGGCGGTACTGCGGTCGACCCCCCTTCCCCAGTCACAAACACCGTGTGATACAGGCTCTAGCTTCCCTGTCGTGTAAGGACGAGGGCTTCCGGGCAGCACACAATGAGTTTCTTTTGGCCCTTCCCTTAGATTCAACCCAGACATGGGTGCTGACCGCTGGGAAGATTGGTTAGAACGTCTTCAGAAACACACATGGTGCCCCAAGGCTATGAACCACAGATCTACTTGTACAAGCCCATAGTTGCCAACAGCGCCCCGTCCTTCCTTCCGACGACCTCTTGCTCTGCCAATCACTGAGGGGGCCACAGAGGACACAGGCTGCCTGTGGCAAGTACTCTCCACCCCTTCAAGGCTTGTCAGGGAGGGGAAGGGAGAGGCAGGAGTAATTCCAGTAAGGCCTCCCGCTGGGCTCCCTGCCGTCCACAAGGCCTTAATTCAGCTCAGGACCATGGCTGATGTCCCACTCTGGCCACAGAAGGAGGACAGAATTAAAAGTTGCCTCTTTAGAGGCTCTTTTGTTCAGTGTTTGATTTAGCCAGGTAGGGCCTGTTTGGTGGGTGGGGCCTGGGATTGGAGCCTAATTAAGTTGCCCCATTAATTGTAATTTATCGGGCTGGGGTGGAAGGAGGGCAGAGGTGATGAACCATTCAAAGAGGGCAGGAAGGAGGAGGTGTGTGGAAAATGTTCTCTGTAAGTTTACAAATATACAAAAACAAAAAGCACATATTTTAAATAAAAATGACTACATTTTTATCTGGCAAAAAGTTGTATACACATGATTTAAATTTTTTTTTTTTAATTTTAACAGTTTTTGGCAATCTTAATAAAGTACAATATATTACAACCAAACCAAAAAATAGTTGTTTAAGTAACAGCTGTTAAGAGTGACGTGATCCCTGATGCCCAGCCTCCCTCCCCACCCCACCCTACTCCCAGAGACAGAAAAGAAAAATCCTCCCATCCTGATAAGCTCCTTTCCCACCCCCCTTAGGAAGCTAACCAATAGGAAGCAACACAACAAGCGAGTAGTGTTAAAGGAAGCCGGCCGGGCAGGCTGCATTAGCAGGAGCAGCCTCCCTCGCTGGCTGGAGGCTCCTGGGGCTTGTCCAGCTTGATGTCGATCACTGCAGGGGGCCGGGCTAAGGAAGATGACTGCCAAGAAGCTGCCACCCTGGCTCCTGTCCCTGGGCACCCCTCAGCTGCCCTGTGCAGGTGCTCCATCCTTGCACAAATACCTAGGGACTCCGGTGTTTGCTGGGCCTGGGGAGGAAGGATGCAGGGTCACCGGCTCCCACCCCTCTTCTTCACACAACCCCTCCCCCTCACCCACCAGAAGCAAAGCCGGTCTTGGGCTGTGGGATGACCACGTAAACACGGGCACAACAGGCCCTTCCTCAGAAGCCTTCCTGGTCCAGGGCCCCAGCCTTGTCAGCAGTCCATCCCATCCTCAAGTGCACTGGAAGTGGACAGCCTGCTGGCTACACGTGGATTCCCACGTCTGAGCGCAGGCCTAGGGGGGCCTTGCCCTAGCCAGTCACTGCCACGGTGACCCCTCGAGTTCTAGTCAGAGTGTGTCACTTAGACTCCGAGGATGCTGCGGGGGGGAAGCCACAGCCCTGGGAAAGGCCTCCAGCCCCTCCCACGGGTGCTCTGGGGACTGTGGGCGGGAGGAGTACCCGTCAGAACCACCCGAGGAACGGGTTCAGAATGCCCAGCCAGGCTGCTGCGCCCCGTGGGCCCGCTGTGGGGCGGTACCGGGCGACGGACAGGGTGGATGTGCAGGGGGCGCTGCCGTGGGGCCTGCTGCGGCCGTCCTACAGGTGTTTTCGTGGCCCCTGTTTAAGGACTATGGGGAGACTTTTTGGCTTTACGTACTATAAAGGGCCAGGCTTCTAAAGACCCCATTTTCCCTCCTTGCCACTCTGGCCATGGCATATATTTTCAGTATGACTTTCTCTCTGACATTCCCTATTTTTATTTTCCCTACACCTACACAAATAACATTTTTCTCTTGTGTATATATACATGAACACATTTTTTTGTTAACATGGCAGAGTATAAACAAACAACCGCCTTCCTTCCCACTGGGCCAATCAGACTACCTCTCTGAACCTCCATTTCAGCTTGGGTGTGGTCTGAGGTTTGGGGCGGGCTGTGCGAGTGGCCGCAGACCGTTTCCCACAGAGCATTGGGCGCTCGGGGGCTGTGCAGGGCCGGGCCCAGGGAGTGGGCAGGACATGGGAGGAGGTATCTGTTGGGGAAACGGGCTCATGGAGACTAGGCTGAACCGTGTTCTGGGTGTACAGAAGCCTTCCATGCAGTGGAGGGTCTACTGGTACCCTTGAAATACAAAGTGATGCTCACTGTGAACATGGGCAGTTACTATTTCTCACTCCCCGCCCCACATGATCATTCACATCCATCTGGTACCCCCCCCCATCGATTTGGAAATAGAAACTTAAGACTGTTCGAACTGGACGAGGTCTTAAAGCCCTTGGAGTTCAGCCTTGTCCCGGTCCAGAGGAGGGCCCACACCATACCCCTCAGCAGGGAAGGATGGGCTGGAGACCAGGCGTGGGCTCGCCCACTGTTCTAAAGTACTAAGTGAATACGTCGATGGATAAATTGCCTTCTCCAGCACATCTTTCACTCACTTATCAAAGGAAAAGGATACTCCCTTCTTTGCTTTTCTCCTGGACATTCTCCATTCCAGGCAGAGCTGACGCCACACGTCGGAAGAGCTGGAGAGAGGGGGAGATGCAGCATGAGCCCCTGGCCCCGTCCTTCCTGCCCCCACTCTGTCTCCACCCTCTTGCCTCTTCTCGTCCTGACCCGGGGCCTTGTTCTCTTGTCCTGCTAACTGTGCCCTGGAGGGCAGGGGCTGCACCTAACTTCTCCCTCCCTTGCCCCTAGGGCCTGTCACAGGTCTGGGCCCTGACAGGCCTCTCACCTAGGCAGGCTGTCCACGGGTCACCAGGAGCTGAGCACGGGTCATGCCGACTGTACGGGGCCTGCCCCGGTGCACAGCGTGCTCTAGGCCCTGGGAGGCAAGCGCTTGGGCGGGCTCCTGTTCCACTGCCTGTGCGGGCACCAGGTCTGGGGAATCAACTTTTGACCTGCCCTGGAGACAAATGACCCTCTCCTCACGGGGGGCCTGCGGGTCCACAGGCACGGAGGCAGCAGGGTGCTGGGAGCCAGGGCCGCGCAGTCACATTGGAAGGAGACATTTCCAAGAGAAAAAGCATACAGGACTGTGAATGTGATGCTGTGGGTTTGTTCGGATGTGGGTGTTAGTGTGACGTGTATGTTGTGTGTAGAGGTGTATGTGTGGAAAATGTGGATGTGTGGGGGGGGTGTGTGTGTGAATTTGTGTAAGTGGGGGGGAATGTGTGTAGAGTGTGTGCTCATGTGCGGTTTCTGTGTAAGTCTGTATAAGTGCACAGGGAGAGCTGTGTGGTGTGTGCGTGCATGCACACTGGGGCAGGGGTAGGTGGGATGTCAGGCAGGGCAGACATGGAACCTAGGAGGTGACAAGTACAAAACACAAGTATAAGGTACCAGAAGATTCTGAACACCCCCTTTCCCCCCCATATACTCCAACTTCGGGGACTGCGTGAGCTAAGGAGGGCGCGTCTGGTTCATGCTCTCACCCTAGGGCCCAGCTCTGTGGGGAGCACCCAGGCTGGGTGACAGGGCCAAAGGTGGTGAGGGCCTGAGTGGGGAAGTCACTGGTGGGCCTGGTAGGGTATGGGATGTGGGCAGGATGCAGAGGGGGTTCAGAAGTGGGGCAGAAAGAAGTGAGCCAGGGTGGAGAGGGCCAGGTCACTCCTGAGCTTTCCTTCATGGCCTTGCCCCAGGCAGCCCTGCTCTGCCTGTCTGTCTGTCAAAATGGTCACAGCCTCTGCCAGTGGCCAAACTGCCAGTTAGAAGGAAACTCCTGGGGTCACATGTGGGGCTCTGAGAGCAGATATGATCAGGCTTAGAGTCCAGGAGTCTGCACTGCATGAAGACTTCCTCTGAGCCACAGAGTCTGAACTGACCACATTTAATTCCTGCTTAGGCCGACACCTGGGTTCCAGAGCATTCTGAAAAGGGAGGCATCGGTGTCTCCCTGCCCCTGACCACTAGGGCAGAAGCTACCTGCCTTATGGACTGCTGCCCACTGCTTCCGGAGGCGGGGCTTGCCATCAGGGCCACACAAAGCAGCAACCCAGTGCCTCCTACGTGCCTCCAGGGACAGGTAGCCCCTGCTCTAAGAGACACCGGAGCGGCACTGGGAAGGGCGTGGGCGTGAGCAGAGCCACGCTGAGGGCGCTCTAACTGGGGAGGAAGGCCCTGAGACCTGGGGGCTATGGGGCCCCTCATTCTGTCTCCGCTCCTCTGCCACCTTCCCCAATGCCACGGGCACTGCCCCTGTCGGGTGAACCGTCACTGTATCCAGGCCAAGAGCTGACGGGCAGCTTGTATAGTGCTCCCAGGCACTGCTCAGGGCGGCAGGGCAGAAGGGACCCCCCCCCGCCGGCCAAGCCATGCTCCACACTCAGAGTCCCCTCCCCATGCCACAGCACCCCTCCTGCCGCACCTTTGCTCAGGCGTTACCCTTTGTCTGGAACACCCTCCCTCCTCACCCCTTCAAGCTCTCTGTTCCTTGAAGGCAGGGGCTCCTAACCTTTTGTGAACCAGAGACCTCTCTGGCACGTCTGCTGAGCCTATGGGCTCCTCATAAGTGTGTGAAGTCAGTGACGCAGGAGTACGGAGGAAACCATTCACAATTGAAATACGCTCGAAAATCTTTGAAGACACCAGTTGGTTAGCAGCAGCATCTGTGCTTCCGGCCGCAGGTCAAGTCACACAGTCCCCCCACCCCCCCACCCCCCAGCGAACTGGAGCGGTGACGCACGTAAAGGCCAAGAGACCTGTAACACCGCGAGGGGACAAGAGAACGGCTGGGGTCTGTACTGTGATCAAGCCACAGGTGCCACCACGAGCACAGAGTCCTGCCGCCTTCATTCACGGCTGAAGGAGGTGCTGCAGGGCCGTCACAGGTGCGTGAAGATGGAGGGGTGGCTCTTTCCGACCCAAGTCCGCTCACCTGCGGACTCCCATCCTTGGGGGTCCGTGGACCTAGGGAAGCCCCCAGCTGCGAGGCTCAGCCGTAACCTCCTCCACGGCTTCTCTGATCGTCCTGATTTCCTGGGCCTCTTGCCCACCCCCCCACCCCCCCTCCGCCCACTCCAAGCTCCAACAGCACCAGGGCGGGCTCCTCTCTCCAAGCCCGCCTGGCCCTCTGCAGCCCTGAGGACTTGCCAAGTGCAAGGCATGAACCCCCAAATGCTAGTCGGATTGAATTTCCCATACCCCCATCCCAAGTGAGGTAAGATGCTAGGGAGATGCTGCTTCTCTCACCAGGAAGTTGGTGGCTGGACACCCAGCATGTTACGGGGCCACGCGACTGGTTGCTGTGTGGTGGCTAAGGATGACATGCTCCGGACATGTCCGGAGAGTGAGTGCTCTTACCCTCTCTCGTGCTTTCCCAGCTCTAGGGTTAGCTTGTTTCCCATTAGGTGGGGTTCATGGTGCTCTGGTTGCTTGCCCCAACCTGGTCACTGGCCCCTCAGGGCAAGTTGGAGCCGAGCCCGTGACTGACCGGGCTGGAAGCCACACGTGGTCCCTTGGCCAGGCCGGCCAGAATCAGCGCCAGGTGCATCCTACCTGCTTCACATTGTAGCCGGTCTTTGCGCTGGTCTCGATGAACATGACGCTCAGTTCTTTGGCGCGCTGCTCCCCCTCCTCGATAGTTATCTGCCTGTGAGTGAGGGGAGATGGGAAAATAAGCCCCCGGTAGAGGCGGAGGGAGCAGCCTGAGATTAGGAGGGCCTAGCCCCCGAGTCAACCCTGAGGACAGGGCTCGGATCCAGGGCCCCGTCCAGGACGAAGGGCACGGGGCCACAGCAGGACACCAGCTTCTCCCCCATCTCCCTTCCATGGTGCCTCCCAGCTCAGGAGCAGGCCCTGCGGCAGGCGGTGGACCTTCCCAACAGTCAACAGGACCGTCCCGTGCGCCTGTGTCTAGAAAGCACTTCGAACCACACAGCGCCTCTCAGGTGGTGTCATCAGTCCCCTTCTCCACAGGAGGACAGTTAAAAGTGACTGCCTGCAGGTTGTACTGAGAGGTACTTAGCAACAGAACCGGGCTTTGAGTCCCATTTCCCTTGCTTCAAGGACAGGACTCCAACGAAGCAGGCTCTAAGTCAGATAATTCTGTAGGTGGCCGGAGCACGCTCCAGGCGGAAGCAGTCCAGACCTGTTGCTTTATCTGCCCAGGCTGGGTGCCGTGAGAGAAGTGGACGAATGGATGCGGGCGGCACCTGGGTCAGCCCCGTCTGTGCACTGGCGGCAGAGCAAAGAGGAAATTCTGCATGGTCACACCTGGCGATCAGAACCCTCACCCCGGCACAGGCATTTCGTGGGGGCAGAGACACCAAGCAGAAGCAGAAGCCACCGGGGGCCCGAGGGACTGCCGTCTGCAGTGGCGCTGTGGCCACGGCCGGGCCCCAGACCGCACACTGCTGTGTGGGGCCGGGCGCGCAGAGCTCCATGCAGACCTCTCGCGGAGGCGCGCCCCTGCACACAGTGGAAGGTGGGGCTGCAGAGCTGAGCCGCTGTGGGCAAGGGTCTGCCAGGTGCTCTCAAAGCCTCCAGTGTCCCCAGGGGGCCTTCCTCCGATGCATGGGGACAGGTCGGAAGCACAGACTCACCACTACGCATCCCAGCTGCAGGGGAGCGGAGGGTGGGCCAGGCCTGCCAGCACGCTGCACCTCGCACCCTCACACCTACCTCTTGTCGGCCAGGTCCGTCTTGTTGCCCACCAGCATGATGATAACATCGCTGCCCCTCTCTGTCCTGACATCGTCGATCCACTTAGAGGTCTGCTGGAAGGAGTTGAGATCTGGAAGTGGAAGGTGGGGAGACAGCAGAGTGAGAGTCAGCCTGAGCAGGTAGAGGGCAAAGGTGGGAGGGAGCATGAGACCAGGAGCAGGAGGGAGGGGGACTGTGCATCCTCACACCCAGACCAGTGAGTCGGGGCCTAGTTCTAGCGGGGGCTGTGGGGGAGGGGGAGCATGAGTGTCTGTGGAGCTCCTGCCCCAGGGCCCTGGAGAGACCCTCATGTTGCTGAACCACCCCCTGGGTTGGGGGGGTCACCCTGCTGGAAGGTCACTGTCATGATCTGCTACACAGACTAGTGGTTTTAGGGGCCCACCTGAGAATCAGACCTGACTTTGGGGGCTCAGAGCAGAGTGTGAGAAATGGGTGCACTGGACTTGGCTGAGCTTGGAAACGTGTGTGCTCGTGTGTGTGTTGGTGGGGGACCAGGGCAGCTCCTGGGGGAGGAGGGCCCTACACAGTGGTCTCCCACTGACGGGGGTGGCGCTCGGGCAAGACCAGACTTTCCAAGGAGAACCCTCAGGATCTGCCAGTAAGAGGAGGGGCAGGGTGGCCCCAGGAGAGACAACAGCACAAGAGGTAAGGCCATTTCAGGGCAGCCCTCTCCTCAGTCAGAAGATGTGACAGGCCTTGGGGAGTGGTAGCAGGGCAATGCCCAGCACTCAGCAGCCCACACGCCCGAGGGGAGGAGAGGGAGCCTATCCCAGGAAGCCTCGGTTTCCCCCAGCCTGCTCTCCCTCCTGCTCACGTCAGGCTGCATGAACCCAGGCTGAAGGGCCCAGCTCCCACCTGTACTCAAGGTGTGGGGGGGCCCGCGGTCAGAGGGAGGCGTGGAAAGGGGAGATGGGCAGAGCCAGGGGCAGCGGGCTCGAAGCCTCCCTGTGTGATTTCGGTGCTGTGGACAGCACCCAGGCTGTCTCCCACCACAGCTGTGACCACAGCACAAGGGCTTACCAGGTGTGTTCTGCGACACCTGCCTGGGCAGCTGAGCCTCTGCACCAACCCCTCCCCCCGCCCCCCACGATGAGTCTTCCTCAGGGCTCTGCAGTTCTCTCAAGAACTCGCCCTGGCCAGAAGAGCCACACGGGCTGGGAAGCGCAGCCCACCCACGGCTCTCCAGACCTGCTCGGCCTCCCCTCCCAGGACAGCCTACGAGGAGCTGGGCTGCCGGCTGACAAAACAATGGCTGCTGGGTCACGGCTGGCCCAGACACCAGTGTCTTCTCCCTTCCTGACCCATAACACACACAGGTCACTCCATAGGGGTCTTTCTGGCCGTCAGGGCCAAGGAGGGCATGGCAGGGTGGGGTGGCAGCAGGACCAGCTCACCTGTGCTCACCTCTACACACAGCCCCCTGCTCTGGGCAGGGCCAACTCAATCCCATACACCCAGGCCTGTCACAGGAGGGTGGGGGAAGGTGGAAAACATGCTGGTGTTCGAAGGCAGCTCACCCCCCACCGCCAAGGCCCTGTCTTCCTGCAGTCAGAAGACAAGCATACACAGCATGCGCGTGTGCACACACGTGCGTGTACACCTGTGTAAGCGTGCGCACACACACACCCAGGCCCTGGAGCCTCTGTGAGCCACCCTCCCTCTGGCAGCCGGGACCCACACTCACTTGTGATGTCGTACACCACCACAGCCACGGTGGAGTCCCGGATGTAGCTGGGAATCAGGCTGCGGAACCTCTCCTGGCCGGCTGTGTCCCAGAGCTGCAGCCGCACCTGTCACAAGGGGGGCCGGGGGGGTCAGTGTAATCCTCATGGTGGGGTGGGGGCTGGGGGAGGACCCCGGGCCTGGGACGCGGCCCCTGCCGGCTCTGCGGTAGGCAGGGGCTCTCTCAGTGGTGCCCGGCTAAAGGCTCCAGCTGGTAAGTCCAAAGGAGCCCTCCCTGTGCTTCTGTTCTAAAGTCAGGCACTCACCGTACGATCCTCCAAGTACATGGTTTTTGACAAGAAGTCAATCCCAATGGTGGCCTATTAGAGAAAAACACGGAAAGGTTAAAACTGAAAAGTCTTCCAGGCAAAGGGGCAAAAGCTCAGCGATCCAGACAGTGATAGCCAGCTAGAGAGGAGACACCCATGCCAAGCCTAAGGCAGGTCCTGCTCTGCTATCCCTGCCTGCCCCCCACACTCAACAGTGAACCCAGTCATGTCTCTCAGAGGAAGTGGGTTGGAGCTAAGTAAGGATGAGGACAGGTTTTCAGGAAGGTACAAAAGTGCTTTGTGAAGGGGACAAGAGGACCAGGTGAGGAGGCTTCCCCAGGGTCAAGGCCACTGGCAGGTGTATCTCCTGCCCTCCTCAGGTGGAGGCCTCGAGGAACAAGGAACTGGGTGGTCTCCCTGCCCAAGCTTGCTTGACCTCACCGGCTCCCACCCTCACAGCCTCCCCGCGAGGCTGCTGGAATTCAGATACCCAGGCTCGAGTTCACCACTGCCCCCAGCAGGCAGGGGCGGAGTGGGCAGCAGGGCAGCTGGCTGCTGTGTGGGCAGCAGAGACCAGCTGGCCTTCCTCAGGGCCATCACAAACCACCCAGAGCAGCATCTTCCTGGGAAACCCCACTGACCCTTTCCTACCCAAACCAACGTATCAGGAGCCAACTGTCCCCAGCATACCTAGGCCATACCTGTGCACTCTCTTTCCTGGCACTGGGGAGAGGCGGCTGGGCAGGGTGCAGTCAGCCTTGTGGCCAGATGGCCGGGACCCACCACTCACTCACTGTGTGACCTCGGGCAGGCCACCTAACCTCTCTGGGCTCACCTGCCCACAGCATCTACGATAAGAGCTAAGATGCTGTTGGCGTGAAATGGAGATGTCACTGCTATGTAGTTAATAATAATGAAGACTCAGACATAGCCTGAACGTCCAGGACACTGATTAAGTACAGCATGGCACACCCATGTGATTAGAATCCTTGGTAGCCATTTAAAATCATGACTCCACCCCCAAACTGCTAGAACTCATACAGGAATTCAGTAAAGTGGCAGGATATAAAATCAATGCACAGAAATCAGTGGCGTTCCTATACACCAACAACAAGACAGAAGAAAGAGAAATTAAGGAGTCGATCCCATTTACAACTGCACCCAAAACCATAAGATACCTAGGAATAAATCTAACCAAA